CAAATTGGGAATCGCTGAAGACCTTAATGTCTTGTGAGCTAAGGTCCTTAGTGAGCTGAAGTCTAGCAAGGAGCACTTCGTACTCGGCTTCGTTGTTGGATGCTGAGGAGTCAAACCTCAGTGCATACTCCACTTTGGCATTATCTGTTGTGAGAAGGATGAGGCCTACTCCGCTTCCTTTTGAATTGGATGATCCATCAACAAAAAGCTTCCAAGTGGGCTGAGCTTCCTCGATTGGCCAAGGTCCTTCTTTTGGTTTACCTACGAGGGCTCGGCTGAAAGTACATTCTACTACAAAATCTGCCAAGGCATGGGCCYTGATGGCTGACCTCGGCTGGCATTGGAGGTTGAACTTAGAGAGATCGATGACCCATTTTGTCAAACGTCCCAAGGTCTTGGGCTTGGTGATGACGGCTTTGAGGGGTTGATTGGTTAGGACTGTTRTAGTGTGAACTTGGAAATACGACCCATTTTCCCCACTTTGTCCTCATGACCCATCCCTCAACACAAGACACAAAGTTCCAAGGCTTCTAGTTGTGAATTTAAGATGAAGACCACTCCAAAAGCTTCCTTCCAAACCTAAACATAAAATAATACCAACCATCGGTTAACGAGTGGTTTTGGAGGCAAAGCAACATCCTAAAGACATTAACATTCAACATGATGCCTTGCTGATGAGCCACAATAATGACCCCAACCAGGGGCCTGATGGAGTTTAGAGCCAACTAACCGATCGAGATCCCATAGTGATTTAGGACCTCGATGACCATGGAGTGGAAAGGCACCCTCAACCTAGTCTAGACATACCTCTCCCTTGCATCTCATCCAAAAACTCTCCAAAACCTCAAGAAGCCTCACAATTAACCGATCAAAGATGAAATGCTATTGAAAAATCCTCTTGAGATCCGCTTGCTTGAGAATACCACCAAGGAAACTACTTCTCCCTTGGCTACTACTCTCCCTTTTGGGGTTAAGTTGGTGGTCTCATCTCTATCGGCTTGGAGGATCCTAAACCTCTACTCTAAGACCTCCACATTGAAAGGTCACATTAAACTCGAAGACTTAAACCCGACTCATAATTAGAAGACTCACTACTACTAGGGTTCTAMCAATTAGGAGGCTCATACTCTTCACACCCTGACCTTGAAGACCTGGATAAGAAGGGAGGACTTACCACTAGATGTAACGAAGACGAAGACTACAGGAGATGAACACCACCATCAATGAGGCCTCACCTATAAAYAGGGGCGAGGAGCCACAAGTACCTCTTTTATGTTCTCATACATTTGCACTTAATCTTGCTTTCATTCTCACCTCGGAACCTCGGTTCTCCAATCACCTTGGCTAACTTAAACATTGGAGTCACCACCCCTGAGATAACACCCTAGGGCCTCTRATATCTTTTTGTTCTCATAGGTGAGACCCTTGGCCAGATTACTTCAGACATTTCTAGACTACGTAGCATCAACTGGTAAAAGAAAATGATAACCAATGCAAGTTAAAAGAGGAAGGAAGAGGTGAAAAGGAGTTTTCAACTAAAGTAATAAACCAAAAATAGTTTATAGCAAAACCCTTAAAGAAAATAACAAAGGCATGAATTTCACTTCTCCCTTAACCTTGCATTCGTTCTATAAGGTGTCATCAATTATTATTACCACCCCGCTTTATCACCCATAGCCCATGAACAATAGATCTCTAATCCTATTATAAGAGAATAGACTTTAAAACCACCATAGGCCTAAGTTTAACCAAGCCAAATGAGAACCGAGTCAACCTAGTCCAATGAACAACTGAGGTCATCAAGCAACAAGTCGAGTAAGACATTAATACTCTTGGACTAAGGGGTATTAGAACAAACAAGAGGCACAAATCTTCTCTTGTCTTCCTCTAAGTTTTCTCTCATTATTTCAGAATTGTTACAAGAATTACAGTAGTCTAATCCCTCTTCAGATTATATATAATGCAATCCTTCTTAGGGGTTTGCCACTTTCATCTTCCCTAACCCATTTTTCCTTGTATCTTTGGGATCACCTGTTAACAATCATATCTATGGGGCTTATACCTATAAAATTACTAAATTACAATTTGACTAAAATCATATTAGGTAGTGGTTGAACTTGGGGTTAGGTTCCTTAAGGTTGAAAATTGTAATCCAAAATCTAATTTTGAGTGGGCTAGGGTTRAGTCCTTGAGCAACTTGAACTAACCAAACTTGTCTCGTATTTATATTTGTTGTATAAAACGTTGTGCATATGATTGATTCTATGTCCCAATGGATGGGGCGTTGGTTTATGGAGCAAAATATTTTGGGTTTGACTCTTGTAGCTTTATATATATAGTACTCGGTAAATGGAATACGTCTGCAAACTCTGCTATTTGTCAACTTGAATTTTTTTAYTAATTATAAGAGTGTCATTAAAAAGCAATCATTGCCTCTGTTTTAGTTGTACATATGACATTGAGTTTTTGTGTAATTATGAAAGTGCCATAAAAAGTAATGATTATTCTCTTTTTTTGTTGTGTATATAATCTTGATTTTTTACTTAATTACAATATTATCACTAAGTTGGTATTAATCTCTTTACTTTTCATTTATTACCCCTTCCCTCTCTCTTATGTCTCCTCTTATTTTCATCAATTGTCTTTAATGTTGCATGGAACGAAAATAAACCAATAATTCCCTCCCTCCCTCCCTCGCCCCCAAGAATTCAAGCATTCCCACTATAACACTATTTTTTTTTCATTTATCATTATTTTCAAATTTTCATTGATCTTCATTTATCTTCAACCACTCTCTCCATGAACTTTTAATATTATTTACAAGGCAATAAATGTTTTAGTGTTAGATAATGTATTCCTTTAGTTTCAATCATATTAATGTACATAAAAATTTATATATAAATAATATAAGTACATGTTAGTTTAAAATTGGCACTTATGAAATTTATGTTAGTCTAAAATGTTYTCAACCAATGGATAGATTTGGGGAAATTATACTGACAAGGCTAACACTGGTGCATTGTTGAATTAGTGGAGCAATTTATCTCAACTGCTATGATTAGACCCTAAGCATAGTTAGTGGGTGTTTGGAAAAAACATTGAACCTAGACCAATTTCTAATTATGCCCTAGACTTTGAAGATAAATGGGAAAAATTAGAAAATTGCATTTAACCCTAGTCTTAATTATGATATTGCATTAAGTTTTATACTATGCTACTTTGATATGCCAACTAATGAGAGCCACCAAGCGTAAAATACCTACCATGTTAGAGTAGTTTAAGGCATTACCTAAGTGGGTGATCATAATGATGGGATCAATTCCTATCWGACAAAATGAATATTTTACATTGTTTTTAATGGAAACCTAAAATTACCATTAGTAAATTTTAACAATATTTGAAATCGGATTTGCAAAATGTATTTATACATATATATATATATATATATTATGATATTTTCTGAAAATGTTTGCAAAATATTTTAATCCCAGGATCCGTTTAAGGAAGGGGTGTGACACTACATTTTATAGTCAGGAACTACTCACAAGGGTTCTTCCCTGTGAATAGTGTTTTGATTATTTAGGGTTGAAAGGTTAAGGGCAAAAGACCATTAGAGGGCTAATAACTTAATGAACTTTATCTCACATCAATTCATTATCCTGGGAGAGTAATTGAATCCAAGGGTCACTTATACTTAAGTGTTAGGCCCAGATTAAGCCCAACTTGTTTAGCTCAAGGGTTTGTTGCCCTTATATAATGAATCGGCCTATCTCTTTCCAAACATGGACCAAACCCATATGGACATGTATGATACTTTTATAGGTCTTATGCCATACAATAATTAGGCTTAAGAGGTCATGCAATGTCTGTATATGAACTATTAAAGAAAATGGTACGTTACCAGTATGACTGGTTTAAGAGGTCACATGATAAGTTAAGTTGTCATGTGACATTAATCGAATTTGGGTATAAATCATCCATTCTCTAAAAAGATTAAGAACTTAATCCAAATCTGATTTGGATTAGGTCCKAACCAAATTAGGAAAGATGTTTATAAAAGAGATTAGAAAGAGGGGGCAGACTAAGCTTTCTCCCCACTCTCTTGGTCATTTTCTCTTCTCTTTTGCACCCCAAAACCCTAGTTCGAATCAGCCATGGTGAGGGATAATTCTAACCAGTCTTCTATTGTATTTTTGAAAAAACAAAATATATTAGAGAACATAAGGTTCACATAGCTGCATAAAATCCAAAGATGTTGGAGCTTGATTTTCCAAAAAGTGTTATTGAATCAACTTTACATATAGCCGATTTAGGTATGATATTGGATGTGAAGTATTGCTCTGAAAGTGGACTCCATATTAAGTATAGCAAGTTCTCAATTCAAGTTTATTCAAATATGGTCCTATAGCAAGTTCTTAATTGAAGTTTCAAATATGGTCNATAAATAAATATATATATATATATATATATATATATATATATATATATATATATATATATTTCAAAATATCAAAAAACTGATTCTTGAATTGGGCTGAATTTTCTTTTCTAAATTTTGACCAACAACTATAACAGGTTCGACTATGTTTAATCAAAATTTCAGTCCTTCCAACTTTTAATATGTTTTTCAATTCAATTAATTATGTTTCATATAAAGTATTAAAGCAAACCTAACTTGAAAATTTATGGGCCTAAATGCCTAATATACACTCAAGCCTAAACAAAAGATGCTAACCTTCAATTTTTTTAGTTTGGCCAGGATTGGAATGGTTAGACCTAAACTTGCGAGCCTAACAGGGCTAAATCGTTGAATCAAAACTTGGCTTAAAAATTTGCGGGCGTAGTACAAAACCAAACCCAAACCCAAACCCAAACCCAAACCAAATGTATCAATCGAATTCCAAGGAACAAAAACAAACTAATTCTCTCCTCTCACTCTCTTTCCCTGTCCAAGAAACGAGAACATGTAATTAATAAATTTGCTCATAAAAACCAGACCAGAACCCAAAATGGTAATTCTGTTAGCTTAAACTTAAAGCATATATTATTATTTAACCATAATTTACTTTTAAAGGGAGAAATACCAAAATATACAAATTCAAACGAACACTCCAAACATTGCATAACGACGACTTCCATTCCTTAAGCAATAAGAAAGGGCAAAACGGTCAACATAAAACTCTCATATGTGAACGTCGCCGAACCACAGTACGATGTGTCTTTCTCTCTGAACTTCTCTGTAAGTCCCTGCACTCAAATGATACATTTAATAAATAATTTATCAAAGAAACCAAGACGGAGAAAATATAAAATATAAAAACATATTATTACCTTGACCGTTAAGCAGCACCTGCATTTAATCAAAAACAAATAACAAATAACATATTAATAAATTCAATATTCAAAAAATTATAAATTGGAACATATTTGTCTCAAAATGACTAAAATGCCCAAAGAACGTACTCGATGAAATGATCGTATTCGATGGCTTTATTTTTACCGCTGCTCTTGTCGAACTTGGAGACCAGCAAATCCAATACGACCGGAGGAACCGCGAATCCGAGGCTCAGGAGCGCCTCGCGCAACTCCGACGCGTCGATCTTCCCGCTCCGATCCCTATCGAACCTCTCAAAGATCGCCTGCAGAGAATAAAAACACACAATACAAAAATTATATATGAATTGAATAAAAAAAGCAGCCGAAGATTTTAATTATTTTCGAACTAGACACGTACCCTCCAATTCTGCAGGCTGTAAAACACCGAAGTGAACTCCTTCGGTCCTGTCGGTTGTGTCGTAATTAAACAAAAGATAATGACCAAATTAGTAACAAAAATTATCTTAAATTGGTTTAAAAACTTTAAAACAATTATTAAACAAATCAAATATCCGGGGGCAGTCTAGGAATTTCATTTCAGCGAACGCGGTTTCTACTTTTATAAAAATGGGAAATGGCCAATGGGAAACCAAAAGCGAAACGCGTAATAAAGCAGACCGGATCTGCTCCTCACACCTGAAGCCTCACACGCACATTCTACAATAATGCATTTGGAACATCTCCCGTAATTGATCGGGAGATGTTCTCAATGCACGGTGGATGTGCATGTGAGGCGCCCATTTGTGACCTCGTAATAAAGCACGCGCCACAAGGCATAAGGGACACGCGGTGACTGTGTGAATGGTAAAAGGAAACACACTATCTACGAAATGACCAAAATAGCCTCTCCACCACCTAGTGCCGGTGGTGGGTGCGAGCTACTCTCACTGGTAAAGAGCAAGCACTCGTGCTATCGTGCGCATCTGAAATTGTGATTTGGAAATTTGGAAGGGCAAATTGAATTCTCACCGATCTTTCGGGTGTTGATGTTGGTGAAGAGGTACATGAGGAGATGGACGGTCCGCATGCTGAAGCTCTGGTTGTAAGACGACAGAGCGCCCTGCAACTCCTTATCGTCTATGAAGCCACTACCGTCCCGATCGGCCGCCTGAAAGCAACCCACCACGTTTGGGTCAGTTCCCGGAGGGAACGTCGACGGCAGAAGAGATGCGAACGGGCTTCCATAAGGTGGGTAGCCGGAGGGCGGAGGCACTGTGGCAGCTGGATAGCCGGAGTAAAGAGGGGGGGCACTTCCGCTTCCATGGGGCTTGTCTTTGGGGGGCTTCTCGCCGGGAGTATGGCCTGGTGCGTAGGGTGCAGAGGGAGTACCGTAGGGAGCTGCCATCGGAGCATAGGGTTGTGATGGTGGCGCTCCGTAGGGAGAAGCCGTGCCGTATGGCTGAGACGGTGGTGGCGCACCGTAGCCGTATCCAGGCGGTCCGGGGGGGTAACCAGACATTTCTCTCTTCGGAGGGACTAATAATAGATTTGCAGAGACTCGAGAGTTTGGGATTTTGGCGATGAGGTGAAGCACCTGGCTTAAATAGGACGCGTAACGAGTGAACAGTGAAGTATGAAAGCGAAGTTCTTCAATGCCTGCGGCCTACCTTCCGACATCGTAGAAATTGCCAAGTATTAAATCTAGGAATATTTTCCTGTGATGTCTATCTTTCGTGGGTCCCACCATGTTGGGTCATGTGTTAAGTATCAAACAGCTGTATAGAATCGCTGTTTGCTGGCATTCCTTATTAAGTAGGAGCCCAGGTTGGCCGGAGAAAAATAGGGTAAATTACACACTACACTTTCAATTGCAAAATGTAAGTCCATTCATATATTCCGTCGATTAAGCATCTAGTTATGCTTGGATTGGCCGAGGACAACATTATCAATTCACTTCCTGAGTGGATGTGCATGAGGTGCGAGACCGATGTGATCGAGGGGTGGAGTTCGAGGTGAATAAGGTTTGAGGTTCGAGATCCGAGCTGGGTGTCCAAGGAGGATAATATCCGAGGATTGGGAAGTCGGCTTTGCAAGAACAAAAGAGCATAAGAGACCTTGGGAGAGGACTCGAGGTAGGGACTACGACGGTCAAGTTAGTTGAGAGTTATGAGGTAGACGATGTCTGAGGTGTGAGCACTCAGATGAGGTCACAATAGAGTAAATGATCTCAAGAGCAAGAAAGAGAGCTTGAGTATTCGATCCTCTACTTGAAAGGGTGTCACCTCATATTTATACCGAAGCCGCTTGGAGGTAGGTGAGCTCGGACCGTGGGGTGCGTGGCCATCCTAGGCTGCCAAGTGGTCTTGCGCCATTGGTTCCTCGATTTTTGTCGAGTTGGGCAGCGTGCATTCGTTGATTGGCTCTACTCCGACATGCACTACTCGACACGTGTGAGTCCTGCAATTGGACATGGCCATCTCCGCCTACATCATTTGCCCCTCTCTCCCAAGACCGTGGTGGAGGCACGAGCTAAGAGGGCCTCGACTTCGGTTGAAGGGAGTGTGTCGGTCTCTGTCGGGAGGCATTGATGGGCCTTTCATGCACGTCGTGGCCTGCAGTGGTGTCGATTCACCTTTGTTCTTCACAGGTGATGATCGAGGCTCCTATCAGACCTCGGTTTGACTATTCCTATAGCGGGCCTCGGCTTCGGCTCCGAGGCTGTCATGGCATGTAGACGAGGGGGAGACTTGCCCCTCAGCCTTGCTAGGGCGATAGAGATTTTGTAGGGGCCTCGGCTTCGGCTGAGAGGGCCAAGGAGGAAATGCCAGGTTACTCGAACTAGTGACTTAGTCATTTTGTGAGGGAATCTCATTCTGCAATGTCGTGGRCCGTGGAGGAATCGGTTCCCAGTGCCGGATTTGGGTCGTGGGTCCCCGAATTGGTGAGTTAGGGGTCGTGCCCATGACAGGTTGCGGAGTCGCTGTCATAGGTGGGACGGGACGCGGGTGAACCGAGTCGTGTCCCTGTTGAGTCAGCACGGCTGGGCAGACTAGCGAGTCGTAGTGAGGAGGCGTGTTGGTTCGCCTAGCATCGTTTCGTCTTCTCGAGGCAGGTGGCACGTGTCGATCAGCGGACAGGGTAGTAAAGGTGGTTGCTCATCAACTATTGGATCTAGTGCGATCTACGCTGTCCATTTTCCTTTAAATAAGGGCCTCAATCGCACATTCACTCACCATTTGCTCTCTWGTGCCTTTGCTTCCAAGAGTCCCTTGCTTCCCAAAGCCCTCGGCTTTAGTTCTTCGCCCTTAGAGTTCTTCGTCTTCGTCGTCCTCGTCTTCATCCTAGGTAAACACCATGTCATTCTCTGATTCTGGTCCCGAATGCTATGAACTCCTGGTTTCCTCGGGAGCAAGCTCCTTCCACACCCCAACCCCTATCAACTCTAGCCAAGGCTCATCGGTCGCCAAGATTCCTACCCCGTGCCGAGTGGTCGAGGTGATGAGAGAGAGGACTGCCCCCGGTGATGCTGACTGCAGCCGAGGGGGTGAGGACTCATCTTGTGAAAGCGCCGAGTCCGCGGTGCCAAGGAAGGCCGTGAGGTCCCCCTCTATAGCAGAAAGGGGGCCGGTAGCCGAGCTCAACCCAAGGATGGTGGCCGAATACGCTACCCAAGGGATGAACGTAGAGCGCATGCCTCGCTTGGAGCTTGACAATATCCTATAACCAAGTCAAGTCCTTGGCGAGGAGGTATCACATCCCTCAGTCTTACCGACTAAGGGTCCCTGACGTTGGCAATCGGCCGTGGACGCCGGATCAGGGGGAGATTTGCGTGTACCAAAATTTTCTTGAGTTTGGCCTTAGATTTCCCCTTCATCCATTGATCTCCGAGTTGCTGAAATGGTACAGGGTTACCCTTAGCCAGTTTGTCCCAAATGCCCTTAGGACCAWCATCGGCATGCTGGTGGTGGCTCGACTTCGAGACGTGGTCCTAATGTCAAAGATGTTCCGAGCTATGTTTGTAACAAGGAAGCACACCTTCGAGGCCAACATGTACTACTTCCACCCTCAGAGAGGCCGACCCATAGACAATCCCTCGTCCATCCATGGTTGGAAGGAAAAGTTTTTCTTCATCTCTTGTCCTAAGGGTTGGTCATTCAAGTCAGGCTGGGAGGAAATTTATCTAGCTACTGAGAAGGCCAAGCCAATGTTTCGGGATGATAAAACCTCCACGGTAGCCCATCTCCTTGTGTTGGGGATGCTTTGTGCCAAGCCCTTGGTGGAGGCTGAGCTTCCTCTAGTTTTCGTGGGGCTTAGCACTGCCCCCYTCGGTAGGAGTCCTTGCGTCGGTTTCTTAATACGTCGGCTTTGCTTTTTTACTTGGTACTGATTTTTGTTTCTTTTTTGTAGAGATTCCGCTGGATGCCAAGTGCATGCTACTAGAGAGCACCCTGGCCAGGCTGAGGGCACCTCGGGAGGGCGGACATCGAGGAGGCCTGCTGAGGTGCCACCTACTAGGGTGGAGAGGGGGTCCATGCCCACTATTGGAACCCCTCGGCCACAGGCTCCCACTGGAGGGGGGGCGACAGAGGAAAGAAATCGGCCAAGGAGAACCGGCCGAGGGAGAGTGGCAAGAAGAGGCCGCCCGAGGTGTTGCCTGCACCTCCGGCCAAGAGACTAGCATACAAGAACCGCTCGACCGAGGGCGGTGAGCCGAGGAAGGGGCCTCCTGTTGCTCCGAGGAGGTCRTCTGCTAAGGGGCCAGTGATCGAGCCTTCATCTGCTCCCCATTCTACCTTAGAACTAGCCGAGGATGGGGAGCGTCTCAACCGCCTGTTCCACCCCAAGTGAGGGATCCGCGAGGAGGATCCCATCAACACCGAGGGGGTCGGCAGAGCACTGATTAAGGGGATGATCCCCCCGGGGGATTGGTTTGAGATGGTGTAGATTGATCCTCCTGTCATCCGGGATGAGGGTCTGGACTTCTTGGCTGAGGTGAGCTCCGTTCAATTCTTACTTTGTTATCTTGTTGGCTCTCGCTTGCTTTGTTGATGAGGTGTTTGTTGCAAGTCTATCGCCACTACGTCGGCCTGGGGGATCGAGTCAGCCTCCTTCTCGACTATGTGTAGCGGCTTGAGAAGAAAAACAAATAGTTGTAGGTGCGGGTGGCCTCCACCGAGAGCAGTCGGGATGAGACTCTCTCGTTACTGAAGGAGGAGAAGAAGCTCTAGTGGACGTTGAAGGACGATCTAAAGGCTGAGAAGGCTCAACTCGCTTGGGCTCAGGAGCAGCTCAAGGCATCGGAGGAGGAGCGCGCTCGCCTGGACAAGATCGCACTGGAGGCCCGGAGGGAGGCAACGGATGCCAAGGGTCAGGCAATGGAGGCCGAGGCAGTGGTAGCAAAAGCCAACGCGAACTACCGGAATGTTGTCCTTGCTTGGCAGTAAACTCCAGAGTAACAGAAGTGCCTGGCAATCTACGGGTCCGAGGCCTACTTGGAGGGGATCAAAGACACCAAGAAGGCGCTTTTGATGCTGGTGCCAAATTTCTTGATCGACAAGATAAAGGTGCTCCCTAACTCTCTTCCTCTCGAGGATGATGTCGAGGCTCTTGGTGATGCRGCTGGTATTGGTATACATTAATTACAATAATTACTGTTACTTTGAATTAATCAACAGTAATTTCATTAACCAAAATTTCAATATATATAAACATTTAAAATAAGTAATGATTAATGCATATTTACATTTTATACTTATTTTTTGTCATAATAATATTAATTATTATACTGAATATCTAAATATTATAATACTATAATACTGAATATTTGTTACAATAAGTCTGCATTTATAATATTATTGATAATACTATTATTTTCAATAATAAAATATTATTACTTAATTTAATAGTTACTTAATTTAAAATATTATGTTAGTAATTATTTTCAGTATTTAGGAAAAATAAATACCTACAATATGTCTGACTATTCAAAATTTCACTTTTTTTCCAAATTAATGTAATTACTGTAAAAGTTATTTATTATGTGGGTAATTATTGTATATTTTTCAGGAAAAAATTTAATAACTGAAATTTGATAACTAATTATTTTGAAACCCGAAATTTCAAAATAATTATTGAAATTTACTGAAATGTGTTAATGGTTATTGAAACTACTTATTCTATTTATTGCAATGAATAATTATTATTTTCAAATAATAACAATTTCAGAAATTAATGTACTTAATTATACTTATTTTCAGTAATAATAATATTACTTATTTTACTGAATGATTAAATATTATATTATTATAATACTGAATATTTGTTACAATAAGTCTGAATTTATAATATTACTAATAATATTATTATTTTCAATAATAAAATATTATTACTTAATTTAAAATATTATGTTAGTAATTATTTTCAGTCTTTAGGAAAATTAAATACCTACAATTTGTCTGAATTTTCTAAATTTCACATTTTTTCCAAATTAATGTAATTACTGTAAAAGTTAATTATTATGTTAGTAAATATTGTATATTTTTCAGGAAAAAATTTAATAACTGAAAAATGATAACTAATTATTTTGAAATCTGTAATTTCAAAATAATTTTTGA